CTCTTTCCAATGCTTCACTAGCCTAGGTTCCAGTATCATATAAACAAGTTAAGTCTTGATCTTTCTCTCAAAAATCTTGACTAGGTTTTCCCGCATTCCAATCAGCCTTCATTGATCTCCAATTCCTGTTGAAGATCTGAGAGCTTACATGTGTTATGATATTTGAATTTGAGTTTAGACAGATCAGGAATATGCAAATATTACTCAAACAGTTTGCATCTGTGGCCGCAGTGACCCTATTATGCTTCCAGGGGTTTGTGTGTGCATACCCATATACATGCCTCTACAAACGTATACATAACGGGGGTGGACCTGGTATACCTGGAGATGCTAATCTACACCACACAGTCTCAGCTGTTTGGGTTGATGACAGGACCAGAATTCCCAGGATTGATTGGATCCATGATGATTTTCCAGAGAATTTTTTTCGTATTGGAATTTTCTATAAAGCTGATGGGCAATGGGTGTCAGATCACCTTACTACAGTTTGGAACCCCACATGTGTGGATAAACCTGAAGTGGTGGACCCTGTGTTTGGATACGTTGAGATGAATGGTGAAAGTCTTGCAGACAAATACATTCAGGATAAAGGTACAAGAAGGGAACATTTGAAGCTTGGTGTAATCAGAGCATAACAAACTCAACCAATCAAATTCAATGTTAGCTCCTAAGACAAATGGAGTTACTTGAGTACATGTTGTTTCTCTGTCATCCTCTCTCACAGATCTCAGGGTAACAAATACACTGAAGGGATCTTCAAAGGGATTGATGAAAATGAATGAGTTTCTTGGAACGCAGGTTGAGGTTTGGCACCTGCTAAAACACCTGATGATGCACTCTTGGTTAATGGAGATAAAAGACTCCTGCACTTAAGGAAGTATAGCTAATGTTTTATGATGGTTAGGTTGCTTAAGAAATGCACAAGATTATAAGAGTGCGCTTGATCTAGGTAAAAGATAAAAATACCGTGCAACACAAGTTAGAAAGATTGATAATAGTAAAGTGTGAACAAAGATGAAAGCTATGTATGTTCTATTTTCCAAAGATGAGTAAAAGAGAAATGTTACAAAATGCTTGACAACTTACAAGGAAAAATGAAACTTTTACTTAACTCAACAACAGATGTAAATTAACTACCAGAACTCTACTTGTCTTTGATAATCAATTACTTTATTGTAGCTCAGCTTGGCATGTGACTGTGGTAAAAGAACAACTACAGTGTAAATCATAGTGTCCTGTGAACCATCTTAATGTTGAGTTTCTTTACTGGGTCAATTGAACACCAACAATTGATCTTTGTGTGGTTCACAGAGGGTGCTACAAGCCTCACACCTTTGGTTGTGGGTGCAACACAAAAAACACCCCTTTGGCGCACCAATTTGGGTGCACTGCAGCATCAGAGAAATCCCAAAAATTGGGGTTGGTGCACCTTTTCAGAAATTGCAACAAATCTCAGGAATTCTATGTCCTGCCACCAATATCAAAGACTTGGATACTTGCTGTGAGTTTTGATGGTAAGTCTTTTTAACTTTTCAAACCTATGATAGGAAATATTTCTGTGGTAGATTGCTCTACCAATACAAACATCAGATACATATTGATGCAAAGACAACATATTATTTCTTGGAAATTTTCTTTATAAAACAACGCGCCCAGCGTGCCAAGTGGTGCCTAGGCGCAAAACCACAAATCCTGGTCTAAGATGGGTTAGTTGACAGCCTGGTCACTTCAATCTTTGTGCCCTGCACCAACCAGCTTGTGATTTTCCAAATTCTCAAATTTCTCCCTTTTTGAAGTCTACTGTAACAGAATTTTTTGAACCTGATTCTTCAGAAACATCATGTAGGAGACAATGCAGAAACCTTGAGATGAGATTGAGTATACTCTGAGTCTCAGTAAAGAAAATCTGGTGATCAACAGAATAAGCCTAATAATGAAAAACCCTTGTAAGTTCAATATCCTTGTCACCAAGAAAGGCTCACATCAAAATTTCCCTTGTGAACTTGACCATAAACATCAAATCTATAGTTTTACCAAGGGACTTACACTTCTTGTAAGTTGGAGTTGATGTATGCAATTTCCAACACAACACAACCTGGACCAACTCAAAATTATCTGGTGTCTTAGCCTTGTGAGCATCCACGGATAGTCAAGATAGGTCTGTTTGTTTTGGGTCACACTGGAAAGAAAATGAAGGTTTGAAGAATTTCAAGATGGTCAGAGCCGTATTAAAACTCTGTATAATGAGCAATGTCCCAAGTTGTCACTTGGCCTGGTCCTGTACAAGTCTATTTGGAAAAGATACGGCACATTTACTGCGCCGGACCCGATTAATGTGTTGTATCTTTTCCGAATAGACTAGTACATACAAGGATACACAGGATACAGAGTTGGTGTAACAGTACACACTCAGCCAGATAAGTTGCTGAGCCTTGCCAGACAAATGAAAGGGAAGGGAGACCTATCTACAGCCAAACCCATGCACATACATAACCAGCCAAAAATGCTTGAGTTTCATTTTCCACACAGCTGTTGTGGGCCAATCTGTTTTTCATTGAATTATTATGTACAAAACAGCAATGCATGCTTTTTTCAAGTCCCCACATTCATAAGACATACCTATAAAGTGCCTTGAGAAGTTAACTTAACAAAGTCACAATTGTGGTGTCCCTTGGAGCTAATTTAACACAAGTCCCAATTCTTGCAAATGCTTGCTTACCTTTGCAAGCTTGGTGCCCTAGAGAGGGACTTGTGAATTATCAGCTGTTTTTTGGTGTGTTGACAGGGATGCAAAAGGCCCTGCTCTTCTACAATCTTGTGTCTTCTGTAGTTAGTGAAATACACAATTTCTGAGGAAAATAAAATCTGCAAGACATTAAGATGAACAACTTCAGTTTTTGAACAAATTTCATTGATTGACTATTGATCCTCTTGGAAAAGAAAGAAGAATGTGTTATTTAGATCCTTTGTAAATTTTGCTTTAAAGGTACAGTCACCAAATTTCAAATTTCAAATTACAAAATCTTTCTTTCATTCTTGAGAGAGCTCAGAGTGAGTTACAAGAAATCTGAATAGACAGATCTGAAGGCAGTGGTCACAAGTAGTTCCAGTCAAAATGGGCATGGGGGTCTACTGAGATGAAGTGAGAGTTTTTGCAGTTTTAAAAAACCTCTCAGCCAAACTTTGATTTTGAACCCCCTGCCAACACACCAAAGAGAGCCAATAATTTCTAAGTCCCTCTCCAGACACCCAAGCTTGTGAGGAAAAAGTGTTGACAGGGACTTAGTTAAGTTAGCCCTTGGAGCCTGGCTGTCTTTTGCATTTTCCCACTCCCTCCTCTACAAATCCAACTGTTTGTCATCATCAATGTTGCAGTCTAATCTTCTACATGTGTTGAGCCCTTCATGATCCAAGGAAAAATGCTCCAAAGGTCCTTTTGTGAACTCATTTTTCAAGTGCTTATGTCCAACCTGTTAGTGTGATTACAGCCTGCATTCATAGACACTGTCAACAAAGATGCCTTGGAGTGGAAAATCCAAGGTAGCCTCAGATGGCAATAGACTCAGACATGGTGTCCAAGTAATTGATCTGAGGCGCTATCTGGGGCCAAAGAAAGCCTTGGATTAATTCCTCAGACACACAGTCCAAGAGAATGTAGATCCAAGGATTACTGGGATTGGAAAATCTGAGGTATCTTTGCCGGCAGTGCAATGTGGAGGAGATAAATATGTCAGAAAGTCACAATACAGACCAGTGTTGTAAAATTCTACCAAGTACTTGGTAGAACACACCACCCACATTCCCCAAGTTACGAGGCTACAAGGATGTCTAGAAGATGATACTGAACCACATTGAAATGACAAACAGCTGGATATAATATAAAGGAGGGAAGTGTGAAAATGCAAAAGACAACTTATGTTAAGCAGTGGAGGTCTCAAGCCAAAAAACAACAATTAGTCATAAGTCCCTCTCCACAGGCTCTGAGGGACACCACAAGAGGGACTTTGTTAAGTTAACCTGGGAAGGATTTGTTTCCATCAAACTCTAATCAAAACCTTTGCAACTAGGATTTTGGCAACATCAGGCAACAAAGAGAAATCTGTGAGGTTAAACCAACTCATAAGCAGTGTTGTTTTTCTACTTGAAAAATATCTTGTCTTGTGTACCTACGCAAAATACAAACATGCTATTGCATAACTTGATACATTTTCAACAAAAACTCGTCATAAATGCAATGAAATATACCTTTAGGCCTCAATACGTACAAAGTCCAATATGCATTATGGCAATTTATGCCCACATATTTGTATAACCCACAATAATGCAAACTATTACCAAAAAATTGTCTCTCCAAATTATGCATTAGCCCAGGTTTGCCTCAAGGGTAGATGAGATAACTCTTGTGTCAGCAGTCTATAAGTATGCATAAGTCTTAGCCAAGCCTAAATGGACATCTACGCAAGACATGAGTCAAAGAGATGATGATTCTCGAGATCATCGTTAAATAATTAGGATGCATCTCTCAACACATGTTTGCCTCAAGTAAAGAGGTAGAAGCGATATAGATCATGAGGTGATCGGGATCCAAACCCGATCGGGTGCCCATTACTTTTGATTAACAGAGACCCTCACTCCCATCTTCGGCTCCGCCATTTATTGCACCTCTTTGTTTCCTGGACTCCACTTAGTGAGAATATAAATAGAGTCTTTTTGTTCGATGGCAATTCGATTTCCAGTTCTAAAATTCCAGAATACCTCGTCATTGGAAATCCGTGCTTTGCCTACAATCGTCTCGCTGTTCTGATTCGTCATCGTCTCGCCAATTAGCCATACCTTACGACTTTCCAAGTAAGTTCCGATAATTGAAGTTTATTGTAAGTCCCTTAAACAGTACCCTATCTTACCTAAGGTTCTGGTCTTGTTTACAACTCAAACCAAGTCAACGATTTGACGTCTATTTACCCAAACTAGACAGAAACAGAAAGAAACCATCTTAAATAATGGCAACCCCAACCAACCCTCAAGACTCAGAACCAAGTGAATAATCCTGAAATCCCCATAAATCATATGATCTTGATCTTAACCCTGATATTGATTTTTGATTTTTCAGTTTCATTGGTAGATGAAGGAGGATGGGAAAAAGCATGGGAAAAAGGAATCACACCATGGGATCGAAAGAAAGTTCAACCTGCCTTACTTGAAGTCTTTAATGAATCTGATTTCTTAAAAGACATTAAACATTTCAAAGCACTTGTAGCTGGTTGTGGTAGAGTGAGTCAGATCAGTGGTTGAAAACCTTCATCATTTTTTTTCTTGGTTAGGAAGCTTGGGAATTGAAGTACGATTAAACTTTTGGATCGGGTTGAGAACATTTAGGGTTATGATGTGGTTTTCTTGGGTTCTAAAGTTGATGAATGTTTTGGTTGGGATATTAGTCCGAAAGCCGTTTCATTAGCACAAGAGGTACAAAAACATCGAGTTTCTTATCTTCACACTCTGTACAATTTAAAAGAGAATCAAACTGATGCTCGATCGATGGAAATGGTTTTGTTTTCGAATCGTAGTGGTTGAAGACTCAAAATGAAGCTACTAATCTTGAAAACATTCATTTCGAAGTCAATGATTTCTTTGATCCTAAAGGTTCTAGTTTAACTTTTGATTTAGCTTATGATTATACGTAAGTCTTGGTGCAAACCTTTCAATCAAAATCATATTTCTTAACTAACATATTATCAATCGAGCCACTTTTTCATGATCCTCATATAAACAGATTCTTGTGTGCAATCCATCCTTCAAAACGTCAAGAATGGTCAATTAGGTATAGTCAATTAATCAAAAAAGGTGGAAAACTCATCACACTGATTTATCCTATTGGTAAGACCTTTTACTAAAAACCCAAACTCTGAAACGTTAAAATCTGATGATGTTTGATTCTGTAGATGGTGATAGACCAGGTGGTCCTCCTTTTTCTGTAGACCCAGATGAAGTTACAGAGCTTTTGATTGATGTTGGATTTAAGTGAGTTGAAGGTTTATGAGATCTTGATTGGATACTAAGGATCTTTAAGAAATTGACTTTTGAATGGTGTTTTGGTTTAGAAAACTTTATTACAAGGTACCTACTATGACTGATCAGCCTCAAAGGCAATTAATGGCAATTTGGGAAAGATTATAAGGTCTACTATTTAGAATTGATCCATGAGTTTAGTTTTTCAGGTTTTGTAAGATCTTAGATAGGTGATGAGAAAGTAGAAAGTTGTTTTGTTTTGTTTTGTTTTGTTTTGTTTTTTAGGATTGAAGTTGAAGTTTGTATTTACCAGTTTGTAGACTCAGAGTTGTACTTTCTTTTGTAATTCGATCAGAACATTCGATCAACTACATCACAACTATCAAGATGCTAAACTCATCTAACGAGATTCCCAAATCATATCAACAAAATCCAAGCAAAAGAACGAGTTCACGTCTAAGACATTCCATCGATCTAACAACCCATCCGATTCCAACCCAAACCCAAACCACCCAGAAACTAAATTATCCATACTCATTTAATTTAATAGGTCATCGTAGTTGTGTGAATTCAATTCAATTTAGTTCGTTTCATCATGATAGGTATTTAGCTAGTGCAGGTGACGATCATCAAGTTTTGATTTGGGATACTTTTCAAGACCTTAATGATGATCAAATTCGATTTCCTTTAAACACTTTTAAAGGTTCATTCGCTAATATCTTTTCTTTAGATTTCACAATTGATGGTCAAAAACTTTTGGCGTAAGTCTATCAATCAACCTAATCATTTTTGATTTGATTTGAAACTGATTTCGATTTTTGGTTTCTTTGATCAGAACTGGTTTGGATTCAAGAATATATATTTATGATTTACAAAAACCTACATCTTCTTCAAACCTATACAAAACCAAACATCAAGATTCCCAAACCAAAGGTGATGAACCAATCCAAGTGATCCTATCACATTCGGTATCTCCAAATCATCTTTGACTCCAACTTTCAAACCTTGATTCATTAAGCCTTCAAGACTAATCGATGCGCTTGGTTTTCACATTCAGGCTTCTTGTAGAAGAGTCACCTGTCATCCAGAAGAGCCTGATCGGTTCTTGTCTGCTAGTGAAGATGGAACAGTGATCGAATATGATTTAAGATTAAAAACCTTTTCTCAAGCTTCGGTTTTACTTCAAAACCAACTCGAGTATAGTGATGTGCTTTGGAATCCAGTGAAGTTAACCCCTTTTGACTTGAGATCTTTATATAACAAATTATTTCATTAACACTGATTTTAATTGATGGATTCTTTTTCTCTTAGATCTCTTCTCATCTGTTTGCTGCTAGTACGAATTATGGATTAAAGTTATATGATCGTAGGATGTTAGGACCAGATCCGACCAAGAACATTTCAGCATCAATCTTAACAGTATGTTGATCTTCTTTCAAACATCTCATTCATCAAACCATCATGACTGAATCGAAATCCTTTGTTAATTTTTGATTTTCTTTTTTAGTATTCTACTAATTTAATCATGCCTAAACCTAAATTAAAGATCAGTCAACCTGAAATCTCATCAATCTCATTTGATGAATCAGGTCAATTATTATCTCTGATCATCTCTAAATGGTATCCAACTTTATATTCCTTAAACGATCCTCATCCAATAACAGTTTTAAAATCATCAAATTATAAAGATTCTTGTACAATTAAAGTTGAGTTAAATTTTCAAAAGAAGAAAAACCATTGATTTCCAGACATTCTAAACTGTTTTTCTGTTTTTTTTTTTCGTTTATAGCATGGTAGTTTTTCTACTTCAAATCATTCTAAAGATTTACATTTTACTATAGGTAGTGATGATTTTAAGATTTATGATTGGAAATTACCTTCGATTGGAGAATTAAAAGAAGAAAGAAAACTCATGAAATCTTATTCAGATTGGTCAAATGAATTTCCTGATGAAGCGATCGGTAAGAAATTACCTTCTCAGCTTCCCCATCTGTCAATCTCATAATGATCTTTTTTGGTTTGTTTTTGAAAAAATAGGGTATGGGAAAGGTCCTGTGACGATCCCAAAGGTAATAGAAGAACCTGAATTTATTTTATCGGGACATCAATCGATTCCGAATACGATCAAGTTTCATTCAAGTTTACCATTCCTTTTAAGTTCAGGTATCGAAAGTTTAATCAAAGTACATACGCCACAATCCATCAAGATCGCCAAGTTAACGAAACCTTTGAACCTGGAAAGAAAATCATCTGACTTGAATGGGATTGATAGAAGTGTTCAAGTTGATGATGATGAAGTCTCTCATCTTAGTGAAGCAGATCGATTGATTGAAAAGGAAACCTTGGAGATGTTTGATCAGTATCTGTTAAATAGCTGTGATGATCAGTTAGTTTGGATGAATATTGGAACTGGTCATGATTCTAATGAATCGGGCTCTGATGACGATGACGACGAAGAAGAAGAAGAAGAACTGTAAGAATTCCAATCTGTCTTATAAAGTCAAGTCCTTGAAACATTCAATTTAATGTTCTTGATCCTTATTTGATTCTATTTTCAAGATCAAATTGATCCCATTCTCAATTCGAGTTTTCTTATCTGTAAACTAATGAATTTCATCGAGCACATCATGCTAACTTTGAATATTTCGAATCCTCCAAAAAAATCTCTTACATTGGTGATTTTGTATTAATCTATTTTCAAAAGTTGTTTTAGCCTATCTTCTTTTCTTCTGTAAAAGTAGTTTTGTGTATGATTAGTGTTCTTCAGCATTTACGTATTATATGAAATCAATTCAGTTGAATCAAACCCAAAGAGGTACAAGAATGTACAACAGAAATTGTAAGAGAGGAATAAAAACTTTTAAATAAACCAAGACGAGCAAAAACATCAACTTGCAAGATGAAAAAAGCAAATTCATTTTCAGAGAAGAAACCATACATTGAACTAAGATTTCGATAAATACAAAAGCCAAACCTTAAATTGAACCTCATGTTTCTTTTGTCATTGATAGTGGATTATTAATTGGTATATCAGGTTTAAGATCACACCAATTCACCATAGCAGATTCACCATATCGATTAGCTAACCATTCATTTGCAAGTTTAAAATGACCATTACCCAAGAATCCACGATGAGCAGATAAAGGTGAAGGATGAGCCGATCTTAAAATCAAATGTTTTGACTAAGAAAAAACAAAATTCAAAAGTAGAAATCAGTAAGTTGAAAAAAAGGATTTGAGATTGAGATTGATAAACTAATCACTTCTGATAATCTTGATACTCTATCTGCTGCCCATTTACCCCAACATAAAAAGACGACACCTTTTCCAAACCCATTTAAACTTTGATCAATCAAATCATGACATTCGTCATTTTCGACTTTTTGTTTTTTCGCACTTGATGGTCCTTCTTCTGTTTGATCTTGGGTCATGTCTTTTGGATCTTCTTTAGGTTTGGATTGGTTTAAAAGATCTAATCCACCATACAGATCAATAGCATCTACCACCGAATCTGTGAATTGTTCCCAACCACGACCTGCATGAGATCCGGCTGATGATTTACGAACGGTTAAGGAAGTGTTGAGTAATAAGACTCCGTGATCGGCCCATGTGCCGAGTGAACCGTGATTAGGTTTTTTGAAATCTTCTGGATATTCACGTTTGAGTTCTTCATGAATCTACCAACAAAAAAATCAATCAAATCAGGATTCAAGTTCTCTCATATGATTCAATTTAAACAGAGATGAGAATCTTCATTAGTTGTGTGTGTGATGGGAAAATGAAGTACGTTTCTTAATGAACCTGGAATTGGAATTCCTCTAGGAACCGAAAAAGCAAGACCATGAGCTTGACCAGGACCATGATAAGGATCTTGACCGATAATCACCACCTTAATAGACGTCAAAGGAGTTCGATGAGACCAAGAATAAATCATAGAAGAAGGAGGAAAAATCGAAGATTGAGGTTCGGTTTGAAGAAACCTTTTAAGGTCAAGGAAATAAGTACGATTGAGTTCTTGGTGTAAAACTTTTAAATATGTTGGGCCTAATCCTGTCTTTGGATTTAGTTCTAGTGAAAGTAATGATTGATGTTCTTTAGATAAACTTGTGAGTTTGGTTTCTTGATCTATTGTTCCTAGTTTATCGTATGGCGTTCTGATCATTGATGTTTTTGAACTTGTGGCCACTGGTTTAAGATTAGGATTTAGTTTAGGTTTTTTAGTAGGTTTGGATGAACTTGTGGTTGAACTTATCAAAAAAAAATGTTGGTTAGTAAACTGGTCATTTGAAGGTTTTTAATTTGAAAAAGGTTGGGGATTGACACACTTGGGCGTTGGAATGGGTTTCGTGTTGGGTTGGTTTCCTCCAAACATATCGGTGATTGATCTTTGACGTTTTTCACCTGGTTTTGGTAAACTCATCTTGGTTCGAATTTTTGGGATGATACTGTACCGATCCTAAAGAAATAACCAAACAGGTTAGTCAAGATCAATAATATCGGTATCTGAAGAATAGAAAGAGACTCACGCTTGCTTGATTCGAGAATGACTTGGTGTTCTGGATGGTCTTTTCATAAAAGTCAAGGTTCTGATTATGGAAGACACGCGTAACGCGTTTATGATAAGATAGGATGACACGGGGCATTGAATTTAGGAAACGGGGTTCGGGTATTTGAGAAATGACCTCATGGTGTATTTGGAATCCGATAATCGCGATGACCGATTCGAATTTCGCAAGGATTCACACACCAAGATCGCAATCAAACCAATCAAATCAATTCGCCAATCGATACATAAAATAAAATCAAAAATTGTTTGGAATCATCCTCTTTGACCATCTATGAACAAGAATAAATAATCGAAAAAAAATCAGCTAAATCGATAAATATTTCAAGTTAACCTTTGCATTCTTCAAAAATCTAGATCTTCCTTGATGCTCATCAACTAGTGATAAATCCTTTTCAACTGTATAGAAATACTACCTATCAAAACGGTAAGTACCACGAGAATTATCAACTAATCAACAGCAGCAGGACAAAGGTGTTGTTATCGACCACCTCATTCTGTCAATTCATCCAGTGAAGTTGGTTGAGTACCGAATTGGGCGTTTTTGCTGTATGCTGGCTTAGATCAATGGTAGATCGTCTCCCTCCTATCCTGTGCGCGATAGAGGAGAAGGTTGCGGGTTCGAGTCCCGTGGTTAGTGCCTTTTTGCTTTTGTAACGGGGCGGAGCAAGGGGAGGTCTGGTGTTGTTCAGAACCCAGTGGTATGGCCAAAAGGTCATGATGTGAAGGGTGTGAAATTTTGAAAAAGCCTCGCTCTTACTTGTTGGTTTTTGGTTGAAGGTCCAAGAGGTGTAAGCAAAAGATCTGAGGCAGAGCTTGTATTATAATTCAACATGAATCAATGTCCCCAAAGTGTTTGATGGACTCCAGCTTTTGTGAGATATGGTGTGTCAAGTCTTTTGGGAGGGATATGACAAGATCAAGTTTTTTGGTTTCTTGCTTGGTGATTGAGATGGGCATGTATTTTGTTTTATGTGATTGAATGGTTTTGGTGTTCCTTTGAATACATCTATGTTACTTTGAAGTTTTTATGTTTGTGGAAAAAGTGTGAATCTAAACAAATTATACCTTCATGGTGAATGTTGAACCATATATTGGTGTGTGGCAAACAGCAAGTCATATATTTCATACTACTGCTTGGTACATGAGACATATCTGGACCATTTGTTGGCAAAACAATTGTGCCAGACAGGTTCACAGGCATCAAGACTGTGTTAAATTGGCCAGAAGAATATTTTTGAGACAGAAGTCAAGTTTCCTTTCTGGTCAATCTGATTATATGTAAATACTTTGAACAAAGGGGATGTCACTTGGTTTTGATAGTATGTACTGAAAACTGATTGGACAAGTTTACAAGTGGATAAGATATAGCACTTGTATTCTTCACCACACTTTGACTGGACCCATGTAACACTGGAAGACTCTTGATATTCAAGGAAAGAAATGTAAGGAATATATCTCTTGAAATTGAAATTCTGTGGGCAGTACAATCATGATGGATGAAATGGTTTTCAACAAACAACAAGGAGATCTTCATGATAATGTTACCAATTCCTCCAACAACGAGACAATATTTTCTTTACCTTCAAATGTTTCCATCAAACCAAGTTCTTCAAAATTGATAAACATCATAAGATAATCATTCATCTGTATCGATTGCATCTTGACTATATTTCATTCCATAACAAAATTTATCTTATCAGACATCAGGTATACAGAAAGTTATGATCTCTTTTAACTCACATGATGCATGCACAGGGTCGGTGCCAACACTTGGCACACGGCATCATTTCTTGATCCTCATTAAACAAATATTTACCCGAGTTGATTTCTAAATGATTTTGTTGACCGACTTTGGAGATTTCATTGAGAGATCTTTTAATATGAGTGGCTGAGATCGGGTCACCAAAGATTGATAGTAAGAGAATGGTACTGAAGACGATCGTAGTTTTACCCATTTCAGAATCTGATATATGTTATGTACTTTTATTTTGAGAAAACGAATGAGGATAGGTGTATAACTAGTTTCTCTAGTGGTGCACAAAGTCAGATGCTTTAATTAGAAGAATGGGATGAGGTAGATTTCATGTCTTTTTATATCCCTACCATCCCTTATAGTGTGGAACTACGTAACAGAGCTTAACATGAGTTTTCCGCTTTGCCACCAACATCCAGATGTGATAAAGTGTGTAGGTCGGGAAATCCGTGACTCAATTATGCGTGTGATTCAGACCGAGGAACAGATAACCTGCGGATAGCCTACAACCTTTCGATCATGGCCAATCTTCAAAACCTGTGGGACCCATACGGCATAAGATGTCATATTCGATAAGCGATTCTTTCGAGTTACCTCAGGATTTAATTCTTGCGCGGCCGTGTTGATGGAGTTTGGTTCATGAGACAAATTTCAAAACAATAATTTGTGAACCTACATAGAAACATCTCCATTGCCTGAAAATCAATACCGGGTCTCGTATGATTATTTTGGACGTATTGAAAATCTACGGATGTTTTGAACCAACGAGCAAGTTGTTGAACTTGTAGTGTAAAGATCTGTAAAAGCTTTTGATTTGAAACCTCTTAATTGTAGTTTGGTTAACTGTGTTCCTACAGCGGGTGAGCAATAACCTTCGGTGTCACAAAGATGATAGTGTTTGTAGGGGTCACTCAGGGTCACTCTAAAGTCACAGGCCATTTATGAAAAAGACTCGTAACGACTGTTCCATCCATTATTATCACCAGGATTAATTGTGAGTGATACTGATATGCTGAACATCCTTATCATCTGCACATCCGGCCCACCTGTTCAGGTTGGTAAATCTTTACTCTTCTGGCAATGACGTCTTTAAAAACTGTGCCATGAAGAACCATAAGATCACCTGGTCAACGTCTTCCATTTCACCCAGAAAACTCAAAGCGTTACACTTGGCCACATATGCCATCTTACCCCTTGATCTCCGTCTGATCTCATTGATTCTCAAATCCTCATGCATGAATCAACCTCTGACTTGTGCAGATATGACATATTGAGTTTAATTCGGGCCGTGCTTGTCTTTGCTAAGTATGATTCGCCATAAGAAGTGTTTCATGATCCTAAGGTTTACCTGAAATGGACATCTATCCAGCATCATGACTCATTCTCAAAGTAAAATGGATGATGGCAAAAACCTTTTGTCAACTCAGATTGTCTACCTGATTGAAATTGAATTTTTGATACGCTCAGAACTCTCATACAAATGTACATTATAGATTTTTTTTGGTCCTCCTGAATGGTAACACAAGGTCAGAGAGTTTTCTTTCCAAATCCTTTAGCTTGATCGGAAATAAAATATATCTCCAATTAAACATTCTTGACCTGGTATTAAGGCTGGATTGCTACGGTGCGGTGCAACGAGCGCTGCATTCCGTTGCAAAAATCCTTTTTAAAAAATTAAGCAGCGGGCATTGTGACACAACGGGAGAGTGCAGCGGGCGTAGCGGTTTAAATGGGCTGGATGTTGTAAGCCGCAACGAGTATCCTAGCACAGGTATTCGGCCCCTGGATACAGCAGCGTGCAACACACACCGCGAGCCTGCGGTGACTCCCGCTGCTCGTGGCCGCAGCGTAATGAGACCAGCGTTTAGTGAAATGTTACAAGTTATTAGAAATCTGATATCCATATAGACAATATTTTGTTACATGAAGAAGTGTAGATTTGTTTCTCTAGGATCATCATTCCGAATCCCATCTTTCAATATAATCTTTTCCAACAAATGTTTTGTTGAAAAATTTTACCTTTGGAATTTAGATCTTCCAAAAAGGATTGTAAAGAATGGTTTGGTTCTGGGTCTCTATATAAAATGATTATATCAGATGTGTAAGTTATATTATTGATGAAAAGATATCGTATGATTCCTTTAATGTCAAAATGCACAGCCTGATGTTCTTACAGACTGTCCGTTATCCTGTGCAAACATCAACCATATACAAAAGACTGAAGTAAGTTGCCCTCTTAAAGATAAAGCCCTCTCAAACCTTCTAGAAGGATTTTTTCACTGGAGCCTTGGCATGGCACACAGCTGGTATAGATTTAGTGATCTTGAGGGTTCATAGATGATAAAATTAAATGGTCTGTTGATGTGCTGATATCTGATCACGAGATGATGAAGATGATACTTGAATGCTGGAGAGGGTTTTTGATTTGCAGATTGAGATGAATGAGAATGAAGGTTTCGGTTTGGATGGTAGTCGCACCAGGAAGATGATGTAAAGTTTGATGGTGAATTGTTACAGGTTGGTTACAGTTTTATTAAATTATTTAATTTAATTTTGTAATGATCCGTTTGGTTTGATTGATTTAATTTTAATTTAACCACCATTCATGATCAACACAAGATGGTTTCTTCAACTTTATGAATCAAACCACTCACCAGTCTTACCTATTTCAATCTCATCATCATTCTTATTTCCTCATTCCTCTTCATCTTTAATCCCTTTAACTTCATCTCAACTTAACTCAACTTATCAATCACATCACATCATGTCAAATATTAACCATTCTCCTTCAAACTCTTTAATCACTCCAAGATCAAGATCTAGTTGGCCTACGACTACGTCAGCTTTCTTTGCTTCTCCTTTCTCTTCTAATTCTTCAAGACCTCCTTCTTCACCTTCAATCGCAGCTGGTTTCTTATTCGATAAATCAATTGCTGAAGAACCTGAACCTGAAGTACCAATCGAAGTTCCATTCAAACTTCAATCTAATTTCAATTTACGACCGATTCCTGCTTCAGTTTATCATCAAAGACCTCAAGATTTCGCAGACCAACCTGATCGACTTGATCGACTCTTGGCCGAATTCGATGCTCAAACTCTTTCAATCTCTTCAGCATCTACTTCTAAAACTTCATTAGAATCAATTGAAGTTCAACATTCTTCAGAAGAAGAACATGCAAGTTCAATTGAAACCGATCTTGAAGATGAAGCATGGGAATCTTCTTTGGTGTCTATGTCTATCAATCAAAGCAAACGATTGAGTTGTGATTGTGTAAATTGTGGACTGATTCTTGGATTTGAGATTGGGACTAGTAGTGAAGGTTGTGCAAGTGCTAGTACGAGTGGAGGTAGTGGTGAGGATAGTTGGACTACTCCGGTCAGGGTGAGGTTTTGTGAAGGAGCTGTAGAAGAAATTCTAACTTGGTAGGCTAGGCTATTCTTTGTTCACTTTAAATATCGTTCCTTTCCCCCTTTTAAAGACCGTTCTTTGGTATTCTGTCTATCTTATAAGATGATTAATTTTTGATTAATTGAAATCCAAATCTATTAATTTAGACACTAACTTGATGATTGTATGATTTGATGATGTTTGATAGGTCGGCTGAGACTTATGATCGCAAAGGACCTGAACCAGTGAACAAGCTGAGTATGAGAGAAATGATTGAATTGAAATTGATTAAAGAAGAAGTCTTGAAAACCGGTCAAGAAGGACACTGAAGATCACTTTTTTTCAATTCATTGGACCTGTTTACCATTTCCTTTCGAATCTCATTGGATTTTTATTCATTCATCAACTCAACTCATACCAACTATCATCTTTTGATCTCCATAATCATCTCAAACATCAAATTATTCCAATTTTTCAACATCCATACGATTATCAAGACCAATGGACCATCTACGATCAAATGATGAAACCACGAAAAAACTTTCAGTTTATAATCAAGAACACTTCCGATCTTGATTTGTTTTCATATTCCCTTCCCTTACTCACTGAGCTTTAGTTGATTCTATTGATCTCATCCCTTTTGCATGAGCTCACTCATGCAATATCCTTTTACGAAATATATCTCGTTGTATTTGACTCCATGATGTTTAGAAATAGTTGTTCTCTCTCTTTTGTGACCTCCTTACCAAACTTTTTTGGTTTCCTGATTGATCATATTTTGTTTTTTTTTTGGGAAACTGATTTCTTTTCATTGTACTTTATTTACAAAAATACACTTTTTCGTTTCATGTTTTCATATCCTACATATATAAAATTCATAAATATCCACCAAAGAAAAAAATATTCACGTCTTTTCTCCTCCTCTTTTTTTCTACTCTCTCTTTCTCTCTCTAATCTTCGGGTTTTCTTTATGTAATTTTGTTGAAATGTTGACCTGTTTTACCTATATATATGTATATCTCTCAACTGTATATCTCTTATTCTCTCTATCTTTTTGTTTTCTTTTTCTTCAAAGAATATAATCTTATTCTTTGATTCCTTAGTTTTTTTTTCTTTTTTTGAAGGAAAGAGGAAAACAATGGTCTTTTTTGTTTTTTACTTTTTTTTCTCTCTTTCTTTGTCTCTTTATGTTTAGGTAACCCATTAACACTTTATAATGTTTTTTTTTCTCTTATATACATAAATGTTTTATTTCTTGAACTTTTTGGTACATATACATATCAATAAGTTTTTTTTGTTTTGTTGTTTTTTTGAAGGGTATGGTTTTTTTGGGGGTGGGAGGTCATAAGGGGTTTTGTGAGTTTGAGTTTTGTAGGTTATTTTTAGATGCGCATGGGATGTTATTTTTGGTTTTTTGAGAAATAGAAATTCAAATACATAAAACAAACAAACAATTTACGGGTTCTTGATTTATTAGGGCAGTTCAAGTAGGGTGTTTACAGCCTTAGTTTAAAATTTAAGTGTTGTTCGGTGCCTTAAATTTATAAGATTGATTTCACCTTTCGCGAACCAGCTCTAGAGGTGGTTCACCACCTCGCGATCAAATATTTGGTCTTAAACTTTTAACAGCTCTTCACCACAAACCCAAAAAAAGGTCCACAAATCCTTTTAAAAAAAAGACTTTTTTTTCGTACCTTTTTTTTGATTTTGTCCCTGCATAAACGCTTTTTTTTTCGTCTGCTGGTTCATCTCTTTCATTAACAAACCTAGAACGGGTTTGTTTCCCCGGGGATAAACCAAGAGGATTCAAACTCGGGTCTTGATTTTGATGCAAACCCCAGCCTTTCAGGAAATCCCACCTCCACACCTCTTCTTTTCCCTCACTCGGACCACACCTGATATCACGTAGGATATCGTATCACTCGGACCACACCTGATATCACGTAGGATATCGTATCACGTAATCAACCTCTCAGGCACTCAAAAATCAAAAACCCAGATTTTCTCCAAAGCGACGTCAACATCGGCAATCTCGGACAGCATCGTCTTTGTCTGCCCTTGCGCCCAGGGCTTGGCCGTGCCGGCATTTCTCAGTACGTCAACACAGACGTGTGGCCCTGTGTTCATGCCTGACGAAATCACTGGTGGTTTGGGGTTTCACATATATATATCAGATTTTAACGAACCTTTTGCACCCTTTACCTTGCACCCTTTACCCCTAGTTCTACAACTCGTTGGCCATCCCGCTTCCCTTTCAACTCCGATCGCCTGCCTCACGTGATTTGATTTTGTTACTACTGGCTTTGGTCGTTTTCTTCAAGTGGTCCTCTAAAACTCGTCTTGAGCGTTTTTCCCCGTATTCATTTTGGTCAACATGTTGAATGACACGCCACCCATTGTGAAGGTCAGTCAAATGTATAAGCAATCATCATGAGTCTCATGCATGAATAAATATTAACAGTAAACTATTTGTTGTTCTTTGCTAGCCTCCCCCCCGAACTAGGCGAACTAGAGCTCAGATTGAGCTAGATTTGATAGCTTCCGGCGTACCTGCGAACGCTCGACCAACCCCTGCCGCCATCAAACGTTCTCGACTGGCTGCGCAAAAACGGGCCCGTAGTGTTTCAGTGGCGCCAACCAATCGACAAACTAGAGATAGCCCGCCTTTTGAACTCGTGGATTATCAAACAATTGTGGAATACCTCAGTAGACCCAATGTTTGTAACTCTCTTTTTGGTGGCGGGAGCCAGACTAAAGTCTCTGGCTTGCCGATGAATCCACAATCAATCTTGAACTCGCTTGCACTGAGGTTGAACAACAATTACAACATCAGAAACAACTCGACCAACATGCGTCTAAACGGGAGAGTCTTGCAAAAAAGGTTGAAACGATACAAGTCCAAATACACCCGTACGAAGGCTTTCAGTGGGAAAACTGGTAGTGGCTTGTCAGCCAAAAACGTTGCGGACGGAATCGACACCATGGAAGCTTTATTAGAAAGCATGTGCCCATGTTTCAGTGAAATGGATGCTTTATTTCGTGAGAAGGGTAATGTGAACCCCTTTGGGATTCTCGACACCGGTTTGGCTCCTTCGACTTCTGACGATGATAACGAAGACGAAGACGTTCCAATTGACCCCGGGTTTGGTAGTGACGGTGGCAGCACCACCGATGGTCACGATCATCCAGCCGTGGTCAACCCTGGCTTAAAGACACGAGACAAGGGTGAGTGTTTGTCATATCAGCACTCAAGTTTATGTGATCACTAACTGGTGTGCCACTTCGCTCCAGCTGTGAACTCCTCTACCAACCAAAATCTTAAGACAGCACCCAACCAAGTCTTCAACAAACACTCGTCTTCGTACTCCAATCAAGCTCGCCCAGGGCCACTTCCGGAAAGGTTCTCTAGTCCTGACGCCGAAGAATGGGAAGCCTATCAAGATCTCATTGATTCCGAAATGCCCTGTACCAACCGCAGTTCCAGCAATCAAAAAAAAGAAAGGACCAAAACCCTTGCGAGCCCGGACCAACAAGTTTTAATTGATGACCACGACCGCGAAATGTTCCCCCCTCTACCAGATCCTATCGCCAGGGACCTCGAGGTCTTACCTACTGCGACTCCTCACCTCAAGCGCAGTAGTAATCAAACTGGCAAACGCAAAAGTATGAAAAAGTATGATCTGACCCCGGAGGAACGGCTCCTGGATTCGTCGTCAGAAGATGAGGTACCATCCGCCAAGGCATCTCGCAACGCGTTGACGTCAACCCAAGCACACGGTTCAAGCCGCGCCACTTTGGCTCGCCGTGCTGTCGACCCTCTTCCTTCGATCGATCCCTCAACTGTGCGAGGGAAAGACTACAAGCACCCGGTGGCGACTGCGATGCAATTGGGCAACACCGCCAAAATCGAGATGTTGCGTTCAGCCAACGAGTGGCGTCAACAGTTCGATGCTGCCAAACAGCATGCCGAAATCCAGGCTCGTCAATCTGATCTTAATTGGGCCAAAGAAAGATTCTTTTTGGAACGTGAAGACGAGCGAAATCGACTGGCACTTGTCACCAGGAACGAGCGCAAAGCCTTTTGCGAAAAGTTGGTTCTTGAAGGGAAGACCCCCCAAGAGCTTGAGGCCTATCTCAAACTGGTCTATCCGGACCCTTTGTAACCATGGCGAACCTTCCGGTGATAAGTTAGTGGTCTCTCATGCGCATCTTGTTGGTCAAATCGATCAGATACTGATGGATATGATTTTGTTTCGATGTTATAGCCCTTGACCGCGCTCGATTGTGGTCCTTTCCTTATATGTGATGTCTGAGATCTGTGTAGGTGCCCCAATTCTGTTGAACAGTCGTTTGTGCTTTCCCTTCTCCTCCGTTAGTTTCGATACACAAAAGATGTCATTTTTTTTCTTAATTTGTCCGGTTAGCCATATTTTGTAATTTGTATATGTATTTCTGCCTCTATATCTTCCATACAAGAGTTACCAAGATGTTGCACGGATGATTTGGTACATGTCGAGTGTGGAATATCATTTTTTAGTCCCTTTAATAAGTGAAAGTGCTTAAGCAAAGCAATCAAACGGGAACCCATTTTACTTAAGCAAAGTAATCAAACGGGAACACATTGACACTTTCAAACGGGAACCCTGTAGTGCTTAAGATGAAGATAGATGAAGATTCTTGAAATCATTTCAACTCTGATCAGGACACCGACTTTTTGAGGTGAAAGAATTTTTTGCGCGTCAAGTGTGTCAAGAACGGGTAACTGATAACTTAAATATTATTTCAACAAAACCACCGTTTGACAGGAAGTTACAACAGATAGAACACCAAGAAGAGAAAGAAAGATACATGACAAAGACCAAAAGGAACAGTTGACCGAAACAAAACAACGTAGGACGATTCGAAACAGTGAAAGCCTCATTGAACGATGGGGAGGCCACCACTCTCCCAGTTGTAGGCTACCGCGTGATCCCGAACTGACTCACGCTTTGCCCTTCCTCGTTCCATCATCAGATTGTCCGAAACCACTTCCCGAAACCTAGCTTGCCCCGCCTCCCCTGGCTCCACAAAGGCTAGCTCACCTGCTTCATCCTCCCATGCGTTTCCGAGGTCTGCAAGCATATTATGGAGGATGATGCAACAACGGACCCATCGCAGCATGTGATACATGTCTTCTCGCTCATTCAAAGCCAGTCGCAGGCCTTGCAGTGACGCCCAGCGCGATTTCAGAATGCCAATCGAGTGCTCGTTGCGGACCCTCGCCTTGGCTACACACCAATTAAACTGTTTGTTTCGCTCGACCTCTGCTGCCTGCCCTTTATACGAAGGA